GGACCTCAACCACGACCATCCACGCCCAGTGTTCCCTGCCGGACCTCGACCACAAACACACAACCACAAACACACAACCACAAGCACACAATCACAAAGACACAACCACAACACAAACACAAACACACAACCACAAAGCAACCACAACCACAAGTACAAACACACAATCACAAAGACACAACCACAACCACAACTACAAACACACAATCACAACCACTACCAGTACCACAAACACAATCACAAACACACAGCCACAAACACACAAGCACAAACACAACCACAACCACAACACAGCACACAACCACAACCACAACACACAACCACAGCACACAACCCGAGGACCCACAAGCAACATCGAGAACTACAATATTCACGACCATGGCAACATGCTCCTCACTATGGCATCAAGACAAATGATTGAAATGTCATGGTGGGGATCACTCGAAGTAAAGATTTTTTTGTTTTTTTACGGGGGCATTTACGTGTCTATATATTTGGGGACCACTACCAGAGAACGTGTCTATGTTCCACACATTCTTCTGACCAAATCACACTTGTTATGGAGTGAAAAAAACCGCCCTGTGTCGTACCAGGAACATCGATTTTTTCCAAGGAACCATCGCATCCACTTCCATGAGCTTACGGCCCCGTTAGTTAAGACGAACCAGGTTGATCCAGTTTCTCCCGAAGGGTTTGGGCTCACAGCTGATGGTGTAGATGTTTTTAAAGCATCTCAACTTCCTGAAAGAATCATTGCCAGCTTCTTCAGTACGTGACCTTTTGAAGGTTCCTTTTCGTGACCCTACTCGGAGGCTTAAGTGACCGAACCAACCAGGTTACCAAAAGGTCACTTTGAAGAACCAGGTGGATGGATTTTACAGATCTATGTTTTGGGAATGGGCTTGTTCTATCCTTGTTTGCTGAGAATGAACTTGCGGCAAAAGCTTAGCCACGTCTGCCCTGTAGGGAAATACAGGGAAATCAAAGTGGTCAAATAAAAAAACATGAAGGGCCAAGCTAGGTTGAAGCTGTCGCTGGCTTTTAGCGTCCAGCATGTCTTATCCATTCACTTGGGCTGCCGAGGTGATTTAGCTTGCCCGCACTGCTCAAGCTTCATTCCGATGGAGCTGGCACACCTTCCGGGCAGGGCTACACGAAGATTTCGCTGGATGGATTTTACCCGTTTCCACATGGGCAAACCCCCAAGTTGGCAAAAAATTGAAGTCTGAACATTCTGAACACACAACATAGTTACAGAGACAAGACACCAATTGGGAAACAAGACGTTGTTTATATAATATATAAATTTATAAAGATAGTTGTACATTATAAATATTATATATATATATACACACGTATTTCTTGTGTGTTGAGTCGGGGTGGGTAACTGTTACCCAACCACCGTGGATATGTGCAATGCACAGAGTTGTTGATGATTCATGACTTCACAAAGGACCGCATATTCTAATACATGCCCCACATCTCGCTGGGGAGGTTCATCCAGCAAACCCACACACACTCCCTTGCCTAATTCGGAGCACCATAAATCTGTACAGGAATTGAGAGCGCATTTGCTTCCTCTGGCATCTTTGGCCCCTCTTTTTTTAGCTTGGCCGGAAGTTGCAGCAGCAGCTCGAGTCTAATGCAAAAAGGGAGCAAGGACAACTTCGAGTGCTTGGTACTGACATATGGTACATCTTAGAACTTGCATGAGCGTGCCATTTTCTTTGGAGGATTGGGCCTTTCTGTGTGGTTCCTAAACTGTCTCAACCACCTAAGGGGACGAAGTCAGCCACCTTAGGACCCCAGGGGACGAAAGAACAAATCCCCGAGGTCGACAGGAGGTGGAAGCCAAGCGGACATGGTTCGATCAAATGAGGACATCACCAGTTGCACAAACTCTCTCGCGGGACAGGGCAAAAGGCCTGAACAGATAAAGAAGATTGGGTCATCATGGGTCGGTGGGCCAGGGGTGGGTGCCAGGGGGGTCTAACCACCTCAGGAGATGGGCCAGGAGCCGACTGGACTGGGAACGACTGGACTGGGACGTTCGCTGAGGCACCTCGTGGATATGGAAAGCCCGCCTGATGGTGGAGGTGATCTCCCAACCCAAGCACTGCATGTATGGAACAGTTACATACACCCCATTGATGTGGTTACATGCATGGATGTCCTTTCCCTATACGAATCATTCGGGCTTCTCTTCATCACTAGGCCCACCTGCCATTTGATGTGCTTCCCAAACCACCGGGCAAAACATCTTCCAAACCTCCACATCCTCCGCACGCTTGGACCCCGCCGAGGACCGTGGCCTGATCCCACGAAGTGTCTCGTCCCTCTTCGAGGCATCGCCGCGGCCGACTTCGAGTCGGCGGCGCCGACTTCGAGCGAGGCGGAGGTTCAACGAGGTGTCCAAAGAGATGAGGGAGATCCATATTGGATGATACTCGTACTGATATAGATACTAATAGTATCTAATAGTGGATGTATAAGTCGTTTTTACATGTCTACAGCTGTAAAAACCTGCAGATGTTCACGATGTGTCCTAAGTTGTTTGAAGAATATCTCCCTGTTTGGTCCTTCCAAAGGCCTCGGTCGATGGGCTGCGCGCAACGACGTGAACAGCACATGCCGGTTGGAAAAAAGCGAAGGAAGATGAGATGGCCTCACATGGCTCGGAGACCGGGTTTTTTTGACAGGAGTCCATTGTCCCAGAGTGCCAAAGGAGGCTGTTCTTGATGGTTCTTGCATGCAAAATTGTAGGCGGAATCTGAACATAGACAGGCATCGGCATCACCCGACTTTCGCAGCAGCGCGAAGGAACTACTTGAAGGTGTTACTGCACTTGAGTCCTGAAAGCTTGCAACGATTTCCCTGGGAGTTGTCGATGGCCCAATCCATCCAAGTTCACTTTGGAGCCAGGCCCTTTCGGGGCAGCCAGAGCGGGAAGAGATCGAAATCTCAGTGTCCTTCTACGAGCTCTACAAGGCCGGCGACGTACACGCCAGCGGTTCACAGAGGCCCTTTTGAACATGGAGAAACATGGAGAAACATTGGGGCTCACGGCTGATGAAATTCTCAAGCAGCTAAGTTTGACAGGTGCTGTTTAATGTTCTGCGGAATCAGACTCAGATCGCACAGCTGGTTGAAAATGACGGAATCATTTTGTTCAGTTGCCATTGCGTGCCTTCTGGCATTTATTTATAAATTCTACCCTAGGAACCCTAGCGCTCAGATGGCTGACAAGCTCCCTCTCACTAACATACTGTAGAAGTGGGGGGGGGCGAACTGTTCGACTTCCATGTGATGCGTTGTGAGAGTGCATTCTGGCCTGTAGTAGGCGCATTTACATATACAATATAGATCAATCTATAATATGGTATATTATATAGCCTTTGCAAATTATGCAGGCGCTCAGATATGCTCCAGCAGCCGTCCAATCCATGGGCCGGTGAATTGGTTCTGTGGGTGAGAATTGCTTCCTTGCTATTTGTTGTATCTATAGCTGATATGTCCATTCAACAGGGAGCCCTTCCGGGCTGCAGGGAGTTCCTCAACCCCTTGCTAGACACAATTGTTTGATTGTAATCCAGCAGTCGCAAAGGGGTGATTAATGGAGGTTAGGGGTGCCCATTATCCACTCACTTGGGGACTAAACACCACCACTTTGTGACTCCTGGATGTTCTTCTTTGAAGGCGGGGGAAAGAACATGAACTCCACTGGCTGTGCCTATCCTCTTCCGGGCGCCCCCGAACTCGTCGAGTCCAGGATGCTGTCATTGACCTTCTGTCGGAACGCCGGCGGAAGGCGGGGCGCTTGGGGTTATATACTGCTCATGGAACGTCCTGCCACCCCCCTTACTGTAGTAGGAAAGCTGCCACCTGGCCGACCACCATTGTGGACGCATTCGTCCATCGGTGGGCTTCATGTTCGCGCAGTGACTGGGTCGCCTCCAATGTTCGCGCAGTGATTTTGACTTTGGAGATAGCTTATGGGTGGGAGCTTCAGATCCAAAGATAGATCTTACCATATTGACCATCAACCACTTGTGCCACAAAGAAAGGGCATTGGCTCCCAAATGAGCATCCTCATCCTCACCTTTTTCGTTCCACTTAGGCCCGCTCCATACCCAGCGCTGGGCACCGTCCTTGTTCGTTCCGACCGGCTTGGCAGGTGCCCATCAAAGCCACTGGCAATGGCCCGCAGCTGGTCGGGCTCCTCCGGCAGGCGCTTGTGGCATCGCATCCGGGTTCAAGTCAGGTGTAGAGGAAGGTGTAGGTGTCGGGTGAGATGTTATAGAGGGAAAGTGCGATGCGAACGGAGGGAACGAGCCCATCAAGTGTTGAGAAGTGATGTTTTTTTCCTAATACCATGCTTTTGGATGCAACATGATGCAACTCTGTGCTCGTTGTTCTTCCAACTCTGGCAGCAGGGCGTGTTTGCTACAGAGCGCGCCCATGGCTTTTCTTTTGGGTTCGCGGCCTCGCCTGCCATCGTGGAGATCGTCGGTCTTAGTTGATGGTATCGGCATGCGGATGTCATGCAGACCTCAACAACTACCAACCTTTAGTGGGACATGGTTGGACCCCAATAGCGTTGCCATGGGCTGCCACAACTAGGCTCATTTTGGAGCTTGCATGGTGGTTGTTTTGCTTCAACTCCTTGGTTTCCTTATCCAAGACAGGTTGAGTGACCGTAAATAGGACCCATCACCTGGGGTACCCAACTGGGATAGTCGAACTAGGGTCCTTCAACCTCTGTTGGATAGCATCCTTTGCATGTTTGTTTTGCCTGGCATCTGACTGGCTCGAGGCCGTCTCGACCGAGAGCGACGCCTACCACTTGCTCTTTCAAGGTGCGCGAACGGGGCCCTGCCAGAGATCGACAAGTAGCCTCGTTGTGGAGGCCGAAACCCGAAGGTCTTCACCTCTTGAGAGCATCTATCAAGATCCTTCCAGCTAGCACGGCTAGTTGAAACATGTTGAAACCCTGAAGGTTGCTCTGAAAAAGATCCATCCCAGATCCTTCCAGTCTAAAAGCCCAGCCAGGCGACTCCAACCGGCACTTCCAAAGCTTCGCGCAGAATGCCGAGACGTCCCGAGGCCGGGCTTCGACTGCGCAACGTCGAGGCGTCCGGGCTTCCGGGCTTAGCCGGCACGGAATGTTGCGTTCGCCACACACCCGGCACGGGGGCTGGGCCCCGAATTCTCCGCATGACGTGATCATGACCTTGTCCTCAGAAACACTTTTCCTGTGAGGTTCCTGGTGCATGTTCTTCAACTGGACTGAGAGGGTTGCGATTCAGCCATGTCTTCCTCGCGCGCCCACCCGTCGGGTGACTGAGTCAGGCCATGTCTTCTACGTGCTCCACCTTTGTCATCGCATTTCTGGGTACCTCGTGCCTTGAAATCTTTCCGCAAAATGTCTCCCGCGCACTTGGCATTTGTAGACTTAGCTTACTTGGCTTTCTAGTTGTTCCCTTGTTTCCATTTTTTTCCAGCATGGAGTGCTGATGGTAATAGGGATGAGAATGATAATAAGCAATGATGGTTGTGCTAGTCATTATGATGCTGTGGTAGTAGTGGTGGCTGGTGGTGGGGGAGGTGGGTGGTGGGGGTGACCGTGAAGATGATAGTGATGATCGTGATGATGAGGAGGGTCACGTTTTCGGATGAAGAAGGACAAGAAGAAGAAAAAGAAGAAGAGCATAATGATGGTGGTGGTGCTGATGTTTGTGCCATGTCTTGGTTGAACATCGTTTTGAGAAACAATTGGGATGCGATTGTTACGGAATGCTTGTTCATTTGAGAGTCGCGCTGCGCGCCATGCGCCAAGGCAGAAGGCCGTCTTAGCCTTTGTCGATTTGGCTGCACCCATCGCTGTGAGGCGAGCCTTCTGGGAATTCGTGTGTTGTGTTTGTGGAGTGAGGCCAAAGCCGATATTGATTTGTAATATATTATATATTTGCATGCAGGTATAGTAATTGTCTTTTAGTCACACCTGTGTGTTCCAATTGTGATAAGCTTTTGCTGTTTGCCTGCTTGGTGTTCTGGATGATGAGGCAAAAATTTGTCACAGTTGATCACAGTTGGAAGTATAACCTACAAATTTTGAAGCGTCGGCTGGAGATTGTTCTTCAGGCTTCATCGTCCTTTAAGGGTGTGCCCAAGTTTGTGCTGTGGACCGGATAGTGTCTTCAGTGTGGGTATTTGC